TGCTCCTCTGCTGCGGCCAGAAGAAACCCAAAGCACCTCAGCATCTTTCTAATCACGACGATCAATTAAACAATAGTGTTTGAAACGATAATTTTAAAGTTCGGCAACACGCTGCTGCAAAACCAGACCCTTTTGGATCACTGCTCCTCCCACGTTTTTGTAGCTAAACAGCATCCTCTTCACACATGCCTCTCTCACCAGGTCCTCTTTCATCACCCGACTAACTCTTCAAATCCCCCTTTAAATGTTAATCTCAGGCCAGCACTTGAGACAAAGTCAACTGTTCTCCTCTCCTGCCAGACCACAGCGAGCCTGCCCTAAACCTGCTGCCCAGCCCCCCGAACAGCGATCAAAAGGATCTGTTGCTTGTTTTGGGGGTGGAAGAACAGAGGGAGAAACATCAGGATTACTTCAATAAACTCTTCAGCTGCTGATTCTGCTTAGCCAGGAATAAAATTAAAAATATGCATAACATCCCCTGCCCAGCATGGTGACGACTTTGTTGCCACCTGCATGTCCCCAGCTGTGTCCTGCTCACGCTCCCAATAAATACTGGGAGAACTGAAGTAACCAAGGGGAGAGTCAGAACCAGTTCCCAGCTCGTAATAAGAGCAAGAGTGCACAGAGGAAAGGGCGGGTCAGCCTACACATTTCAGGGGAAATAAGCACCCGGTTTACATACGGCTGCCATGATCTGGCACTGAAGTCGTAGCGGTCGGAAATGTTTCCAGCCCCAGGAAACTTGTGATTTTTTATTATTTTTTTTTGAAAGCATCTGCACCACAGACGGCTCTTTGCCTACGCAAAGATTGAATTTAATGGAGCAACTTAACACCGAAATTCAATGAGAAACGTCCATCTTTAACTATCATCCCAATTTGACAGGGCACTGTAAGGAATATTTAATTTTAAGACCATGCCTACACCCCCCACTGAACATGAACTGAACGCTTCTGAAATTAAGAACAGGCTTAAAGGACTGGCTTAATTTGGGTGCAAAGAAACAAGGTACCAGACAAGTCCTCTTGCAGCTCGAGCTCAGAAAAGCGTATTCAATTTCAAAAGTAAAGTTGCTGAAAAAGCTTCCTTATTTGAGAAGCACCGTGGAGATCACAGCACAGACTTCACCAATTACTTACATAAAATCAGATCAATAGCAAGTGATAATCATGGATTGCAAAACGTTCATAAAACCCTTGTGCTACAAGCGAGTTATTCCTCATGTGTGTTAATTAAATCAGTTTAATTTTGGAAATACAGACTTGTACTGACTTACACTTTCAGATACTGAGCCACCTGGCTGTCACCAGGAGATTTGAAGGAACAGCAATCCCAGTGCTGTGCAGAAGCGCTTAACAGCAATAAGCAAGCAGAGAAAGCAAAACTAATACAACAGTATCAACTTCTCCTTGGCAGGGATTAGAAAAATGTAAGTGGTTTGGTTTTTTATGGGCTTTACTTTTCTCTTACTCTCGTTTTTCAGGGCATCAATCACTCTCCGCTGCAACGGAACTACACAGGAAAAAAAAAAAAAGATACTTTGGGGTTACTAGACAGAGCTCTGTTCTGCAGGAATGAAATCAGAAATAAACCCAGTGTTTGTATGTTTTTCAGAACAGCACTTCCAAATTCTCTGAAGTTCTGCACGCTTGCTCTTTCTTGGAGCCATTTTCCTTGCCTGACTCAGAGAACAGCGGAGAACATGGAGCTGGCAGGCAGAGTCTGTTACTTACACCGAGCTGCATTTGAAAACATCAGCTACTGCAAACTGCAGCTGTCCTGCTGCAGAGGCCAAGTTACTCACCCGCACTACCCCTTGTTTAATACCCTGTGCTGCCTCTGCCTTTGCCGTCACCCCGTTTAAACACGGGGAAGGAGCAGCAGCCTTCAAGGAAGGATCCTTTGCTTTGGAATTCGCTCCTGCCAGACTCAGAGGCACTTCAGACTCAGAGAGGGCTACGCAGGCTATCTACTCCCAAAGCCGTTTCATGCAAGTGAAGAAAATGTATTTAAATTGTATTTAAAATCCGTATTGACATTTGTACTTTAAAAAAACAACAACAAACAAAACGAACAACAGTTAACCAAGGTGCTAGCAAGCAAACAAAAGCGTTCCCAGAGTAAATCCTTATCTTATCCCATTTGCACCACGAGGACAATGTTTGCTTGTGCAGTTTTAATCTCGAAGATAAAACAAGTGCCCTCAGGAACGACACACAACCGCCCAACAAACACAGCTATGGGCATCCTGCTCCATCTTCGGCGACCTACAGCTCCTCGGTTTGGTCTCAAAAGCAGCAGCACGTGAACCTCTCCTGCCAGAGCAGGGTGCAAAAGCCAGAGCACAAGTTTGAGACTACAGAAAGGAATAATTCAAGGGTTGCAAAATTTACATTGGAAGTGTCTTTCACTTTTTTGACATGAAGAACTGCAACCGCTGAAAAGGGAAAGCTCATCTGATAAACAGAAATTCAAAACGTCACCGGTGCAATTAGTTTTTGAGAAAAGTATTTACACTGCAGCTGAATAAAGCTGCTCCGTAGCCAAACTTAAGCAAAACTGCAACAGTGGAGAAGGTTTTGTGTCCGCTTTTTAATGATTCTATTCTAATTACAGCAAAATTTCACCCCTTCCCAGTGCCGACTGGGAGAATCATTGTAAAATGCAGGGTCCTGCAAATTAGCAAGCAAGTGAACAATAAAACCCCCCCAAGGATAAGGCATCACAAAACACACTGCATTCATTTATTTGGCGAAGTGCAGTTTAATTACTTGTAAAAATAATGTCTCCTTTGTGTGGGCTCTTGCTAACATGCGTTGCTGCTCTGTATTTTGCTGAGCGGTATGAGTTGCGTGCCAAATTTGCGTGCACGGATTATACAGCGGGCGCATAAGCAGAGCGGAGAGAAGAGGCTGTACAGTGCCCATTGTGTTTTGACAGCACATAAACGACACATACTCTCTTCACGGAATTTGCCTGCTTTTCTATATTTTGAGACTCGATATTTCTCCTCTCAATAGGGATTTTCAACCCTCGATCCCATTTTGCTGCAGAAAACGCTAAGAGCAATAAAAATCCCTGCTGGGGAATCAGGATGTGCCTGTTTTGCAGCCGCCCGTGGTGGTCCCTGGGCCACGTGCTGCTCCCACCACTCCAGCCAGCCTCCACCACTCTCCCACCCGTTGGGAAAGGGGTCCACGACTTCCAGCATCCACACATTTCTCTTTGCATGGCTTCACGGAGATAGCAGGGTTTTGAGAGTCGTGGGGTACGTGGTGTGGCCGTCAGATGTTTATACATTTTATGTCCACCCAGCAGATAAGAGGGAAATCACAATGAACAGTTTAAGGATATACTAGGAAGAACAAGAGCTGGGATCTTGATGGTAACGTTACTGATGTTGCCAGTATCTTATTTTCAAAGACAAACAGAACTGTAAAGGTCATCAGAGAAATCCCTTGGATGACACCAGCAGCATCCGTTAAAGGGAATGAAACAGGGCAACAGCACATATTCCAAGTAACCTTTTTTCTTTCCCCTGAGCAAGAACTGCCATTCCAGGATTGGAACCGGTTGTGAGATACTCCACCAAATGCATGAATAACTGTTGTAATAGTTTTGTTTACTTCCTTTTTTTATTTTTTAAATTACCGGTTCTACTCACATTCAGATCGCAGTATTTGCCAAAAGCACTCCAAGCAAGTCTTGACCAACTTAAGTTTCTTCGCAGTACCTAAAGTCTGTTAACATGGTTAATCTCACCTTGGAGAACTTTGCTACAGTTACAGGACAAATTTGTACATTCCAAATATACAAGAAAATGAGAGTTGTGTGTTTTCACAGTATGATTGCTGAACTCAATGGAGAAAAAACTAACATTGTCATCATCTCTGTATTAAAGCCAGTCAAGGGTGGCAGAAGAAAAAGTTAAGAGTATAGCTCCTGTCCTGTCCTGCACCTTCTCCTTCACCCTCACTTTGCATGTGGTTAGCTGAATTGTTAAAGATGAAACTGAAAAGCAAAATGGATCCTATTCTTTTCCCTCTAACACTCCACTCAGCAACTATAGAAAGCAGAACAATTTACAATTCGTAATGGAGAAAAGTTGCGTGATAATGTGGATGACACAGCAGACTCCTAAACATGACACTGGGTCACTCAACATAAACCCCAAGTATCTGAAAACTCAATCCAGAAAAACAAAGTTAATAACAAAGCTTAAGAGAATCAGGCATCAGAATAACACACATGCAAACCAAATCTTTTCTCCTTTACAAACAGCCCCCTCGGGACTTACTTAAGCTCCTTGTCTTTATTAGCATCAGCTTTTAAAACTAGATCTCCAAACATTTGCTATGCAAAAATAACTTGTCATCCTCTGAAGATAAAACACTGCACTAAAAGCTCATGCCACTAGTTACTTGCTACGAGTTTGTAAGATCTGGCTGCTTCTCATAACCACTCAGAACAGTTTCTGTTGTTAAACACCAGCATTAATTCTTACTAACTTTTTACCCGTACCGGTGAGACACCTATATTCTCTACAAGATGCCTCCTCATTTCAATACAATTATCATTATTTTGTCTAACAAGAAACCTCCAAACCTACAAAGTAAGAACACAGCAGTCAACCACCACCACAAAGCCCACTAGGTCCCCTCTTCTGGACAGCTGTGCTTGTTCAAAGGAAAGGTTTTTCACTCATGTTTGCATAAGGTTTGTCCTAAGCAGTCGATATTACAGTGTCTCACTTCGGGCTTTAAGAGACGGCTGGAAGCAAAACACTGGGCAACAGAAAAGGAGAACATAACACGATTGTATCTCCCCTAAACCCTAAGGATCTGCCCTCATTGTTGCTAGCAAGAAAGGTAAAAGTAAACTTATACAAAAATTGCCTTTAAGGGTAAAGTATAACTCTTAGACATTATTCAGTGATAATGTACAGCAAAGCCAAGCATGATACGGAATGGAAAACCAGCAGAGGAACCACCAACTCATTCTTACTCTGTCAAAAGCTGGTGCAGCTTCTGGTAGCCCCTCTCCAAGGCCAAGCTCACGGGCGTTGCCCCCTCGTTGTTGTGGATGCTGAGAGCTCCTCTTCCACCGGGCTGCTGGAGCACCGCAGCACCCCCAGCCTCACGGCAAAATGCATCAGTGTCTCCCGAGGGATGTTCTCTGGGAAGAAAGAAGAAAACGCAATGGGAATGTGCCAGCAGCAGGTCAGGTGAATGCCATATCCCCACCTCCCAGTCACATCACGCACAACGGCTGGCACAGAGCTGACAGCCCAAAAAAGCCAAGGAACCTGCAGCACCTGGAAAGCCAAGGAACCTGCAGCACGCTGCCGGCCAACGACCAGGAGAGACCAGTACTTTAAAAAGTGAGGAACATGCCACAGTAGGACTGGAAGTGCTCAGGACCTCTCAAGGTGAGGCTGACCACAGAAGTCAACGTGAAAAAAAACCACCATAATTTCATAAACAGCCACGGCAACCACCAAGCAGCAACGCTTCTGAACAGAATCTGGCATGGTCAGGCGGGTTTTTCTAGATCAGACACAAAATCACAGAATGTCCAGGGTTGGAAGGGACCTCTAGACATCATCTAGTCCCACACCCCTGCCAGAGCAGGATCCCCCAGGGCAGCCACACAGGAATGCGTCCAGGTCGGTTTGAAATTCTCCAGAGCAGGAGACTCCACACCCTCTCTGGGCAGCCTGTGCCAGTGTCCTCACACTCACAGTGAAAAAGTTTTTTCTAATGTTTTAGATGTCCAAGCCTTCTTCTCACTAGGTTTCAAAAACAGACAAGTTTGGTTTTTTTTTATTTAAAGGCACACTGATTTGTCCCAAGGCACGAAAAATAAATCAATTACATGTGAAGCCCAAATGTACAAAAGACAATAGTTTAGCCTCTCATGTAAACAAAAAAAAGTGAGGATTTTGCTTTCTTGGTTTGATCATGCCTCAGACCAGTTTTTCTCAGCTTTCTACAGTAACTCCATCATTCTGAGGAGCTGCATTTATAAAAGTAGCAATCTCCGCTGCTGCTTTTTAGGTTTAATAACTGTGAGCTTCTAATTTGGTAAGAGTCACTCTTGAGTCTAAGCTTTCATCCCAGAAAACTATCCTCCTATTCTAAAAGCTGCAGCCCCAGAATGATGCTCTGGAAAAAACAGAAATGAGCTCCAGATGCACTGCTGAAATACGGTATTTGCAGATCAAAGCCTGTAACTTCTGTATGAAGGGCAAAGGCATTTGGGTTAAAAAAACTGTGAGAAATAAAATTTTGTTCGTTTAATTAACAAAGGATTTCAGTATTGACTGGCAGCAACAACAACAAAAAAAGCACCAACTGGGTCTCAGTAAACTGTGCCCATGAGCACACTTGGTATAATACATTTAATATAATAGCAATGACTTATTGGGTTATTAATTTGGTCATCAGCCAAACCTATAGAGCAGGTTTAAAAATGCAAGTACATTTAGTCTTTGGGATTTAATTAAGTTTTTTTTCCTCAATATGTATGCCCCAAGAGAAATCGCTCCTTCAAAGTGCTGTTGGTTTTTTGCTCACTTGCTTTTTTAAGGGACGACGTTTAAGACCTTCAGTAAAAAACAAAACAAAAATGGGCAGTTCTCTCCTGCCTGACAGACAATTTTTCCCAACTTTTTGGATCAACTCCTGAAGAACTAATCTGTATTCAAAACCAAAAGTTTTCTGGCATCATCCCTCTTCCGAGTGACTCCAAATTAGGTCTCTGGGCTAAAAACCAACCCTTCCCCCTAAACTCCTCTTGATTACTGTAAAGCAAACCCATGCTGTCCTGAATACATGAGCACGTCTGAATGGAGGTTCCAGCTGATCAGAGAGAAAGGGAGTAGCTGAGCTCACTCAGAGACAAATTCTCAGCCTGTGGGAGAGTAACGACAAGGATTTTGGTACTAAGTGCTCTGTGGAGTGTAATGCTTTAGAACTAAACAACACAAGGTAGTTAATCCATGGCTGTCACAGTCTTGGGCTTAAAACAATAATAAAATGTAACACATCATATAGACAGTCATAAAGGAAAGGCTGCTGATGAGGCTGCAATAAGGACAGTGTGTTGATATATGTGGGACTTAGAGTGAAGGCAGATGGCCAAGGTTGCACTCAATGAACCTGGACTTGCAGCATATTCCTACGTGACCTGTGCTAACACACTGGTGGGGCCAGCTAGCGTAACTCAAGCGGTACAGCTCTTCCTGCCGGCATGGAGCAAGCACAAAAGCAGGTCTGTCAGAGCAAACGACCGCTGTCCAAATAAAGAATGTGTTGCACTGGGCTGGCCCCATCTATTCTAGCACAGGATCTCCTGCTCTGACTGCTAGGCTGGAAGGAAACATCATCTTCCTACCTGAAATAGACATCCTTGCATCAAAAAAAAAAGTATAAGCATGGGTCCCTGGACCAAAATGCTTCTTCCTCCTTCACTGGAGAGTCTCACAGTTAGGCAGAAGCATCATCTACTCACCAACTCATGGCTCACTAATAAACACACGTACCAACTGCAAGTTCTGCAAGATGCAGGCACATTCATCCTGCCCCTGACCCAACTGGGTGCCCCTCTCTGCTCGTATTTCCATAAATGAAATGTCCCCTCTCAGTTGTCCCAAGTGCCCATCTGATGTTATGTGCTTGAGTTTTCAAACTTTTGCAAATCTCACCTTTTCCCCATTCTTTTAAAAGAATCTTCTTTACCATCAAATCAGTGGAGACAGTAGTTCCAGCGTTTGGATGGAGGTGTCTACAGAAGCGACTGAATTGAGCGTGGCCCTGCCCAAATGCCTCTGAGCAACGACGACGTGCACAGAGGATCTGCACAAGAGGACATGGCGTGTTGCCATCCGAGGCATATTAAACATACAAATTCACTATCCAGGCCTATTTGGAAAGATCTGCCTAAAATATAAACTGGCAAGAGGCCATCCTAACAGATGGGCACAGATGATGGCAGCAAAGAGACAAAGTACTGTACATACAACAACTGCAGGGGCCCCAGGCAACGGCTTTAGGAGGTTTTGGAGTGTGCGAAACTCGCACGGCTACAGTTAAAAGGCGTGTGCCATCTGTGGGCTGGATTAACTACTAATACATAATGAAAAATACAGCTGCTGGTGTGCGGTGCCGCTCAGAATAAGATGAGAGCTCGTCTGTGTCGAGTACGGGAGCGTTGCTGGATGAAGAGGGTAGGAAGATGGACAGATCCCTCCAGCCTTCCTACCACAGAAGGGATAAAGCTTGTAGCAGAAAATATTGAAAATTCAGTTGATGATTCTGAGGTCTTGTCACGGTGCAGAATGCCCATCCCAGGCATGGAAGAATAACAGAAGCTTCAACATGCAATAGCCAGAGCTCCTTTTCCTATCCCATATCAAGCATGAGCTCCTCATCTTAAAATGTCTGTCCTCTATCAACAAAAATCTTCTTGTAATTAGGAAACTGGGGAAATATACGACACACAATACTGGAAAGGCCAAGGTTGTTTTGTTCCTTTCTCGTTTCCTAGTAATAGGCAAGAGTTGAAACATATGATTATTGTCCCATAATGGCAGGGCACTCCAGTCCAGCTGGCAAATTGTAAGACTTTAGATATATTATTTTTCTGTATTTTTTTTGCAGCTGTGACATACGAACAGACAGTTTATCTGGGTAGCTAAGGACAAAATTTCCACAGAAGACTATCAAATGTACTTTGCTAAGAGTAAAGGATTAAGGTTTAAGGTGCTATTAGCACAAAACAAATAAGCATTGAAGGAAGAAAAAAGAAGTCTGGGCATGACAAATCTTGAGAACACACAAACTGTGCTCTAAGTAAAAAACTTTAATTTTACTCCTGATTAAATAACAAGGGGGAAAAAAATACTGTTTCCTTTTAAAAAGTCGCTCCTCATATAGAGTATCACAGAATCACAGAATGGTCAGTTTATCCTCCACGTCCTGAGACACCAAGGAAGAGACAACCATGGACTGATGACCTTTGCTGGGTTCTCACCCAAATTCTCATATACTTGGCAATTTTGAAATCCACCATAAGATCTAGCCTCAAAATTTCCTTCACCTTGCTTGTGCTGGAAACGTTCTCAGTGCTCACATCAACCCTCAAGAAACACAGGGAGCAAAATGTGGCAAGAAGCTATTGCTTAAGGCTGAGCTCCTAGAGGAAGGCTCCAGCAGACAGCAGTACCGCAGAAAGGTCAAGGCAAAGGCGCTGTGTTTGGAGTTACGAGTTCAGTTAATAAAAAGACATGTGGATAATTCTTTCTGAATTCTGTAAACAACAGATTTTTCAAAGCACACCAAAAGATCTCCACGTTCCCATTCTCACTAATATCAAAGGGAACAGAAACTTTCTCATGCCAAGGATTTCTCAGCCGCAGACTGAACGGTACATCTGAGTCCTGAGCAGCACATTTTGGACACCTGCTGACCAAGAATTCTTTCCTGCATCCCATTTTCCACTGCACACAGTATTAAATTTAGGTAAGGAAAAGATTTTCTACACCTTATTCAAGGAGTATTGCTGAACAGACCACTCTGCACTGTTGACACAGAGAAGACCATGTTCATCTATGCCATGCAATCCTTTATCAGAGGGCAGAGAAGAAGGTGAGCAGCAGACTGGAAAGGACGTGAAACCCAATGAAAAGAATCCCTTCAACTATTACACTGCAAGGGTTCAACGAGAAACTACAAGAAGAGGGCAGCAGATGAACAGATTAAAGCCTTTTATCTGAAAAACATCATCAGCTACATATCTTTAACATCCTCCCATGGAAAAAAAACGCTAGTTGCTAACAGTCACATTTCTTTCTATTTCTGATGGCTTTTTCAAGTTTTTTCAGGTTTTTTGTTGTTTTCTTTAAAAATAAGGTGCTTTTATTGTTTACATTCTCTCTTCAGCCATCCTCCCTTTCTGTAAAAATACCCAAATTAATGACCTCAAATCGCGGCGACACCCATTGCGCCATACACTGAGATCATGCCAGTTTTGTACATGAAGTTATTAAACTCATCACCCAAATCCATTCAAATAATTTCAAACCACAGCAATACATTTTCCTCTCTACCCACCTCCTGCCTGCCGAGCTCAGAGGGTTTCACTTCTCAAGCAGTACTTACTGCACGCAGATGTTT